AAAATTCATAAATAGTTGTAACTCAAAGTGTTGCAACTTAAGTTGCAACTAGTTAAAAATTTTAAAAATAATTATGAGAACTATCTTTATTCTAAACGTTGTATAAATGCAGTAGGTTTAACTACAGTTTTTTGTTTTTGCGAAGTCTCTTGTGAAGTATTCTCACTTTTAGCTTTATTTCATGAATATGCGCAAAATATAATTTAATCATGTGATTTATTAATATGTATTATTATCGCCAAAAATAATATGCAGATTTCCAATCAAATCAATATTATCTGGAGCATTTTCATGAATCATTAATAGCATAATAAGAGTATCTATATTTATATGATTTCAAATTTTAGTTTATGTTGAGAAAAAATCATTTCACATGCATATTTGATAAAGGGATAATAAGAATAAGCTTAACAAGTAAAAAAATATTTGGAAATTCATTACAAAAATAAGGTTTTGTAGAAAAAATAAAATCCCAACCATCTATACTAGAATACTTCTCATCATTTCTTTCACTAATTCCATTCTTATTTTAATTTTTGTTTATCAATTAAATAATCTTAGCCTCAAATTTTTTCATTGCATTATATATATCTGTATCTGGAAAGCGAGACTTTAAGCTTTGGATATAGCTGTTGCAAATTCAATTATAGAAGAAGGAAGCTGTTCTGAATTTATAAAAATTTCAGTCATATATGCAGTTAAATAAGTTCTATATGTTGGTGTTGTATCATTATATCCAATAAATTGTGTAGTAATTGCTAATATTTTTACAGAAATTGTAATATAATCTTGTTGAAATATATTAATTAATTTTGTTAAAATAAAATAATTCATACAAAATTTGAATTTAAATTATCTAATAATCCTTTGGCCTTGTCTTGATCATGTTTATTATCGGTTGTTATAAAATCATAATTCAATACATCCTTGATAGAATCAAGAATTTGGTGTAAATTTTGAACAACAATTGACATAGAAAGCCACCGAGTATTAATAATATTAAGTATATTTAATTGCGGATTACCATTAGCTTCTTGAATTATCTTTAAATTTAGCTTCCGTTTATATGATCCACTAAAATAACTATATAAAGATTTGCATATGACTTTATATTCTTTAAAATATGGAACCCTTTTAACTGCATCTTGTCCTACAAGATGTAAACGATGTGCAATACAATGTACCGATATTATAAAAGGATTTAATTTTTTAATTGTATAGCAATATCAGTTTTTGAATATAAAATATAACAAATTAGCATTCATAAATATCATATAAAATTATATATTAAATAATAAATATAAAAGTATTTACCAATGCGTCATTACTACTGAAATGAGATATACAGATCCTTAATAAAGATAAAAAAGTTTTAAATATTCCATAATACTTTCCGCCTAACAATTTTCTAATTTAATTAAACCTAAATAACGAATAACCGGTTTATTAAATGAAGCAATAATAAGATATTTTTTATTTAAGGAATTGCTTTTATCTATCATTAAACTCCAGTTTTTTGATAATTTAATTTCATTTATAAGATTTGTTGAAAATTTGCAACCTAAAAATAGAGATTTTACCGCCATTCTTTTCGCCAGGGACTGTATCATTACCATTACCAAGAGATTCAAAAGATAACTTTATACTCTATTGTAGAAGAATTATTTAAAGAATAACTTGAAAGTATATTGAAAAATGTTCCATGGGATACATTAAAGACATTAGAAAACGTCACTGGAATTCTCGTTTTATTCAGAATATACTGTATATGGCTATCGTAAGTAATTAAGCTATTATTTTTTAAGAATTTTCAGTCTATCATTTGAATCTGAATTTTATTTTAGTGTCTTGAAAAAATGCATCATTGTCAAAGTGCTATCGCCAAAAATATTTGATTGGCACTTTTCAAAGTATTTCCTGAAGTTCCTGAAATAAAGGCAAATGCAGTACAAAAATTGCTGAATGGAAAAAAAACCCCCACGAGTTGCCAAAATATTGGATTTATAGAAAGCAGATATTCTGGTTTCCTAACAATTAATACAATTATTATGAAGGCTATGCTTAGAGAGGATAGAGAAGTTTGTATTAAGCCTTCGATAGTAGAATTCATACTTGTGGTTTGTAGTATTGTCTTAGATCCGCGAAGCAAGGATATTTGATGTAATGAAGAAGAGATATTCAATTTTCTTGGTAGGTATTCAATTTTATATTTATGTTCCAAATCAACTTTATCAGTTGATGATGATATTGCGGATATCTATGATATTTTGAAAGATAGTGAAAGTTTAAAAGATTATAACAATGCCGTTAAAGAAGAGACTCAAGAACATTATCCCTATAAAAAAAAGTTGATTCTTGTTTTGTTTTCCATGTTTTTTTATGTGAAGGGCTCTTAAATCACGAAAATTTTCATATCATTTATACGGATTCCGTGAAAGGCTCATTTTCACGGAAATTTTACGTAAGCCACGGAACTATTTTTTATAGGGTATTTTGAATCTGAAGATGCTAGATTATTCGGATGAATATAACACAAGTAATATACTAAGAAATTTTATTTTCTCTATAATAATCTTGTTATTTTTACAAATATTATCAAACAAGTTATTTAAATTATCAACTCAGAGCACGATCAGTCGCAAATATAACGTATTCTTACTATTATCGTTATCATTTTTTTTTTTGGAATTGTTTTTAAGATCACATGATAAATTATAAGATCCGCATGATATAAATTACTTAGTATGGAAAATTTATTTATAAAGATTTTGATAAAAAAATCAAAAATCTTATTATTATTAAAAAATGAGTAATAAATCTTCGACTGGTAAAGTATTAAGTTTTTCAGGACATGAATATTTAAGACAAAGACTTATCCTTGCCACATTAAGTGGTAAAATTGTTAAAATTATTAAAATCAGATCTGAAAATGATAATCCTGGATTGAGAGGTATATATATATTTATAACAATTGTTTTTTTATTGAATTACTTGAATAAATAGAAAAGTAAAAAGTTTTGCTTTATTGAATTTAATAATAGATTTCGAAGCAAGCTTTCTAAGATTACTTGAAAAAGTAACAAACGGTTCAACCATTGACATTAATTATGCTGGTATTACTTCATGCACATTCTTCGCTATACTTTAATTATTCTTCTTTAACACCTTTCTCTCACCCGCAAACAGGTACAACTATATTGTATAAACCAGGAGTTATAACAGGAGGAAAAATCTATCATGATTGTGGTACATCACGAGCAATTGGATACTTCTTGGAACCATTAATTGTATTAGCACCATTTGGTAAACAACCATTTGATTTGACATTCAATGGCATAACTAATGATAACGTTGACACATCCGTAAAGTAGAATTAAATATTATGAATTATGTGGAGTGATTTTATTTTTATATCCTTTTATTAATTAATACTTTGAATAGATGGACAGCATAAGAACAGTAACTTTATTACAATTAAGAAGATTCGGTATCGAGGAAGGACTCGAGTTGAAGGTAAGCTTTTTTTAAATAATTAATAAAATTAATTTAGATTTTTATTAAGGTCTAATTTTTGAATAATTAGATCACAAAACGTGGATCGGCACCATTGGGAGGAGGAGAAATTAATTTTAAATGTCCTATAGTAAGGACATTAAAACCGATTCAATTTACAGATGAGGGACGAATAAAACGTATTCGTGGTATAGCATGTTGTACTCGAGTATCGCCACAAAATGCTAATAGATTAGTTGATTCAGCTAGATCTGTGTTGAACAGATATATACCCGATGTATATATTTATACCGACGTATATAAAGGTGAAGAATCTGGTAAATCACCGGGATTTGCTCTAAGTTTAGTAGCTGAATCTACCACAGGAGCTTTATATTCCGCCGAACAGGCTGCTTTGCCCGGTGAAACACCTGAAGATATCGGTAGTAAAACTGCCAAATTACTATTAAATGAGTTAAGCAAAGGTGGTTGTGTGGATTCATTAAATCAATGGTTAACCCTATTATTAATGGTACTCGGTCCTGAAGATGTATCAAAGATTCGTGTTGGAAAATTAACAGCTTTCACGTAAGTTGTTTTTTTTTCCTGTTATTTATCATTTAAAGATTTCTTTAAAGAAATGTCAATTATTTCTTTCTTTTAGGATACAATATTTGAGAGATTTAAGAGATTTTTTTGCCGTCACTTTTAAAATTAAATCTGATTCCACAAATAATACATTATTAATGGCTTGCGTTGGTGTTGGTTATGTTAATTATAGTAAGAAAACAAATTAAGTAATAAATACCAATAAAATTAAAATGCTAAATTAATTTCACAATAATCTTTATTTTTTTTTTTTTTTAAAAAAAAAAAAAAAAAGATAAAAATAAACCATATTTTAGAAGTAAAAGTATTTTGTACTTGTTAAAAAAATTTTTTTTTTATTATTGATCAACGATAGTATTTTGTAAACCTAAGTAATAATATAAAATAGATAATATTTTTAAATGTAAAATAATATGATGATAATAATAATAATGAGATCAAATAAGATGAAATTAATTACCTTTGAATGAATCCACGGGGACAAAAGTGACATAAGTATATAATTTCTCTTTAGCGTCCTCTTCATCATTTCTACGTCTAGAAAGACGTAAACGCATACGATGAGGCACACTTCTGATACCTTGTTTCCAAATTTCTTTATTCAACAATGGATCTAAACGAACGTCGTTAGTTCCCATATGTTTTTTAGCGAATGATCGAATTGCTTTAACCGAGTGTGGTGCGCGATTCTTAAAACTCCTATATAAATATACCGCAAAAATATTTAGAAAGAAATTTAATCAAAGCAAGAATCAAAATTGTCTTGCAATAAATGTTTTACCGGCCATGAACGGCTTTATGCAAATGAATTGTATAATCCCTCGTCACGACATCAGCGATCGCACTACGTGAAGCGGTCTTTTTTTCCTTAGCCATTTCTATATATATATAACAAAATCAAATATATAATTTTCTTTTTTTTTCGTTTTAAAACATAATCTAATCAAATTAATTCTTTTAGAAGATTTAAATTGATTTTTCAATGGATATTAATTTATTCTTACCGATATATTTATATTTTTTCGAAATGAAATGCTTAAAGAAAAAATTTTATTAAAAAAAAAGAGAGGAAGAATTAAATTATTTAAATTTTCTCTTTTAAAAAAATTATTGGTGTAACAACCACTAAATCCGATCATCCAATAAAATTATGAAATCCTAAATGTCGGAAGATTTCAGAAAAAAATGTTATCGGAAGTGGTACTTAGCTCTTCTTCAACGGATACTCTTATTAATCTAATAGATTTTCGTACCGGTACCTCATATACTTCTTTTAAACAAAATAATTGTTTTAATCATGCTTTAGCATTAATACCTTATCCCGGGCAATGTGATAGAATTGGCTTAATAATTTCTGCCCAATTGGATAAATCCTTATTACATATATATTCATTTCAAAAGGTTGGTTAGTAACAGAACTCTTTCTCGTCTATTCAATGAATAGTGATATTAACGAAAATGATTTTATAGGATCAAGTACATTTGAAATTTATAAGTCCTGAAAAAATAATTGCATTAGCAGTATCAAATAAAGGAACCTTTTGCGCTGGTGGAACTGATAATGGAAAAATTTACATTTGGGAGGTAAGGAATTTAAAAGAGGTGATTTTTCTTTAATTTGAAAATCGTACAGATGAAAACTAATGGGATTATCATAAAAAGATTTCCACAGGAACATTATGTAAAGTATTTGATGCACATTATAAAAAAATCAGTGTAATAAAATTTACTAGTGATGATTCCGCATTGATATCTGGTAGTGAGGATGCCGTTGTAAATGTATGGTTATTACCTAGCATATTGGATGATTCGGTGGATGAATCACCTTCACCTTATTATACGTGGTCAGAACATTCATTACCAATAACTGATATTTGGTGTGGAATAGGAAGTTTTAATACGGCCAGAATCGTAACTTCTTCATTAGATCATACATGTAAAGTAAGTTTTACTTGCTACCATACTATTTCAAATTTACGTTATCACCATTTGTATTTATTAATATTTAAAAATTTAATAGCTATGGGATTTATCGACAGGATATCTTTTAACAACATTTATATTCCCAACAGCAATAACATGTATAATAGTTGATCCCGCAGAAAGGATGTTTTTTGGCGGGGGTAAAAATAATTTAATCTATCAAGTATATTTATATAGAAAACGAGAAAATAGTAATTATAACACATTTGGTGAGGAAATGAGTTCCGTTGGTGGTGCTGGTTCGATTCAAGATATTTCTTCTATGGATGATGAAAAAGGAAATTTATTCAAAGGACAAAAGTTAGTTCTTTATCAACTGAATTATATTTGATTAATTAAATTATATTATATGCTAATTTACAACTTTGCTTGTTGGAAAAAGTTCTGCGATTACTGCGCTTGCACTTTCGTATGATGCTTCATTATTGTTAGCAGGTTCACAAGATGGAACATTGATGATATGGGATATTGCAAGTAGACAAATGATAAAAAAATTTTCACATAAAGGTAATCATTTTTTTAAAAAAAAATTCCTTAATTTAAACCGAGCAATTTATTAATAAAAATTTTTTTTTAAAAAAAAAAAAAATCATAGGACCTATAACGAATTTATTTACGTTCTTAAAACCACCAGATTTAAACTCATCTTCAAGCAATTTATCAAATAAAATTATGATTCAACCTATACAATTATTTCAAAGAAATACTTTGCAACATTCTTCTAAAGATAATTTTGATGATAAGTGTGTTAATATCATATTGAATGATAATACAAAGGTGAGAATTTAAATGAATAATGTGAATTGTGAAGTAATTTAATGCTGATATGAATGATTTCTTGTAGGATATGACATTATTCGAAAATAATTTTATGGGTCAAAACATCGCATCTCCGGAACTACATGATTTACAAAAAGCAAAACAATCATTACTTCAATTTCAAGTAAGTGATAGTTCTCTATATTCTCTTAAATTTATTAAATATTTATTTTATTTTATTTTGTTTTGTTTTTTTTAGATTGATGATAATTCATCAACTTTAGAATCACAAATTTCTTCATTACAATCAGAATTATTACGTGTACATAATCAATATCAACGTGTTAAAGGATTACATGATGAAATGTATCAAGAAATAGTAAATAATTTTATGGCAAACAGAAGAGAAAAT